TAGTCATGGTCATGGCTTAGCGGCTCTGACCCTTAAAGACATCGTTAAAATGCAAAGTGGCAGGTTTGTACACTTGTAGCTGCTACCCCTGGAACCGCAACTCATAATTCATATTTTGTTCGATACGAACATATCTAGCGCTCCAAGTTGGCTCGTCAGGGTTAGGAACCTGGACAGCGAAATAGCACTACCCGCACTGGTAACGTTGATCTAACGTGGCGAAACGTGGGGTATCCCTCCATTGCAAGACCTTTTTCGATCACCGTTGGGGTAGACTGGCATTCATGTACCACGGCTACCCAAGTGTAGTTTTCAAAACCTTGATACGAGTTCCTTAACTCGTTCCGAATCTGATTGTGTTTAAGATTCAGGAGTTGGACGACGCCAGGCGGAATGAGAGTTAGGAATACAAAGCTTGGGTGGAGAAGAAAAAAGTGACCACCGCAGGGCTCGAACCTGCAATCTCCTGATTGATACACGATCGTAGTCAGACGCGATACCATTTCGCCAGGCGGCCTTGCTGACTTATTTGTAATCAAATTATTGATAAGTAGGTCAAGAACTTCCAAAATGAGGATATCGGCATAGCCACCATTATCTTTACTCAACTGAACCACTACAATGCTTTCCAAAGCTGAAGCATCCTACATACGAACCTCACTTCTTGGAGCGTCGAATGACTCTAGCCAGCTAAGAGGGGATGGCCGTACAGCGTTGGCCTACCGGCCTATTCATCTTGAGCTCGGGGTAGCATCCACAACCAACGGCAGCGCTCGCTCGCGCATTGGTGAAACGGAAGTCTGGACGGGGATCAAACTCGAGGTAGAAAAAAACAGGACAAGATATGCCGATGCTGAGGGGAAAGATGGAGGGAGGGTCGAGGTGGTCGTGACCTGGTAAGCATTCGCTTGATTTATCGAAGCAAACAATGTTCAAGCCTATTTTGAAGCACACCTGGATCTCATTCGTATTTGTCTGGTCAAGCAATTGATGATCTTTCACTTGAACTATCCAACCAATGCACAGCTGCGCTCGTTCCATATCTTACCCCGAGTTCCCAGTTCACAATCGTCCCAGGGCACAAGTCCTGGCTCGTGCACATTGACTCCCTAGTAATATCCGATGATGGAAACTTGATTGATGTCATTTGGATGTCTATTCGAGGTGCCCTTTGGGACCTTCGAATCCCACGGCCAGTAAACAAAGCACGGGCAGCCTACAAATCAACCTGACGAATCGCTATAGGACTAATCCTGTGTCATTTCGTGCACGCGACTCGGACCGAACGCAAAAGGGAGGTGACGCGTTTGCAAGCGCAGTCAAAACAAGACATCAAACCGGTGAGTATCAGCTCGTAGACGAGCGCTAAATTCTTAACATCTTCCGCAACACAGCTGGCGGTAAGACGGGTGCAGGTGACTTTGAATTACCAGACTACTGGGATGATGGCGAGCCTCTTGCGGAGAGGGAAAGTTTGCCTGTATGCGTTACTTATAACATGGTAAAGGTACCACGCTTTAACCGTTCATCGCTCTTAAATTATCCTCGGTAGCTTCCGCCAATACATTTCCTCGACGCGACCATTTCAGAAGAACTAAGCGTCCCGAGTCGCGTTTCGCTAGTCTTCTCTTGTCCGGGTTCAAAAACCGAATCTTCGCAGGCGCCTTTACTACTGGGTTCTTGGTTTAACTCTCCCGTAGACTTCAATCCGGCATTTTTGGCATCGTTGATAAAAGTGAGTGAAACTCTAGTTTTTCGAATTGCGATTCATTTGAGGTTCACATTGATCTAGGACTGCGAAGCCCGTGCAGCGGAGCTAGCCCGGGCATTAGACAAGCGCATGTTAGCAGATGACACAATGGAGTAACAATATTAACACCTTCCTCATGATCATGGTCGCGTGTGTTCTGTCAACTGGGATAACGAACTTTGTCGGCAAGAACTTAGCGTGAGCACGTGTACTCTGTGCCCATTTCCGGTATTCAGCCGCTGCGCTCGGGTACCGAGATTTCCTCGCTATGAAGTTCTTCGGTAAAACCGAGGTTCGGATTGACTGGGTGTAAACCGGTAAATGGCCTAGAAACCAGAGTATTGCCGCCAGATGACAGCGTAGCTGTAGTATAAAAAGCACTGGTGAGCCTACATCGCTTGGCATCCCCAATCCTCCCCCACCAGTATGCTTGGAAAGATTATACTTGCTGCCGGTCTGTTCGTTTCTAGTGCCCTTGCACAGGCGCCTTTGTACGGTCAGGTGCATATACTATTTTGATTCTTTCGAGGCGTACATGAGGTGTACTGAATGTTATCTACGCATACAGTGTGGTGGACAGGGATGGACCGGTCCAACTACTTGCGCTTCTGGCTCAGTCTGCACCAAGTCAAACGGTAACTCGCTTGCATTATACTCTATTCTTCGGCCCTGACGAAATGGATATAGAATACTATTCTCAGTGCCTACCAGGTACGGCGTCCCCAACCCCAACCCCGACGACAACCCGCTCCACCTCTGCTACCACCAAGCCCACGACAGGCGGGCCTAGCACCACAGTTACAGGTGGCGGAACAGTTGGACCTACTCTCCTGCCAAACTACCTCTGGATTCGTGCGGTCGCCGCTCCCAACTTCCACAAGTATCTGCAGTCTTACAAGCCAGGTACCGCAACTGACGCCGTTCTGGCTTCTGCATCTACCGCTGGTTCGTATCTTTGCATGTCATATCCCCAGAGACAGTCTAAATGAATTTCAATCCAGGTCAATTCGCTGTTACAAACGGTAAACTTACCCAGATTACCCCGAGCGGGGCGCTCTTGTACGCCTGGGTCGAGCCGCGAAAGGACAGCACTGTCGTGAAACTCAAGGTTTCATGGCAAACAAGCAGCGTCACAAACGGCACTTTTGTATTCAGTGGTGATGCCCTTACCTGGTTCGTGTGTTCGCGCTATCCGTTCATGTATGCACGTCCTGAAACTTCTTAATTGGTAGGACGGTTCCCGGGATTACCCGCCCGAACAATGCAGCCTGGTTAGCCTGCACGGACGCCACCGAAGGGCAAGTTCTTTATGCCAACCTCGGTAAGGATTCAAACAGTGCAGAGCCCCTATATGTTCTGATGCTCCAGTACCAGGTTCATATGGGTACCAAACGCCAGCCGGATGTGCTGATCAAACTATCCACTTCTATAACGCAGCGACTGCGGACGTGTAAAGAACATGTATATATGGGATGGAATATAAGTATGAGCTAAAAGTACATTTGCTCGACTCATAAACAAGTAAAATTAAGACAACGGATACTTAAATAAAATAGTGAGATTAGAGCTCAATGGAAGAACGAGAGGCCTGAGTCCCCCTCGAACTCCAATATCCAGGGTTATGGCGTTCGCCGCCCTTGTTCTTTCTCCTAGTGCGCTTATGGCCAGGGATAGAGGATTGGTCTTCGGAGGCCAAAGTCTCGTTGCCTGGGCTTGGAGTCTCTTCAACACTCATCACTTGATCCAGGTCTGGCTGTAATAAGCTGTGGTCGTTTGGGGAGGATGATCGTAGAGTTGGCAAAGTTCCGGTTCTGATAGGCGTTTGTGCAATAATTGGAGTAGCCGGTTCATTCAAAGGTGCCGCAACGCCGGGAGGGTCAATCTCTACAATAGACAACTCGCCGACCGCAGTCGGTAGAGGAGAAGCGCGGCGAGCGTTGGAGGAAGATCCCTCAATCGCAGCTGGTCCGGTTTGTAAAGCTTGAATCCCCTCCGATTTGGATTTTTGCCATTCTGCCGAGAGCTCGTTGACAGTCTGTCGGAAATCCTTTCGCTTGTTGTCGAGTTCTTCTTTTCGCCAGAGCCTATTATACTTTACAACCTCTTCGGGCGGCGATTTGCGTTTTGGCTAGATAACCATATTCATTAATAATGACCCAGATTGTACATAAAATGCAGAGGCTTACTGAGGGTAGTGTAAGTAGATCGAGTGGGCTTTCCACAAAAGCTTCAACGTAATGCAGCAGATAAACTCCACAATCACACCAATTTGGCTGTTCTGGGACCTGGAGGGACATCAGAACCTTCCTAGACGCTATAAGTTCGAGTCGCTTACGGGTAAATGCTTATCCTCAATCAGTCCGCCGCTAAGTTTGGAATCCTTAGTTTCGACATTCTTTCCGTATCTTTCTTGAGCTTCTGCTTGGAGATACTCCCGAAGGATTCGAATAGTGCGAGTATGCTTTCCTCTTAGCGAATCAAATATCAAAATCCAACACTTTTGCCTGTGGGAGACTTAGTGCCTACTAACACGACACGAATGAAACAGTACTAACGCATTGGCATTGTCCTGTGTTGCGTCATGGGGATCATCGTCCGTCATATCAAGCACAGGCGGCGTGGCTGGGGCCTCAACTGGCCTCATGTCCACATTAATTTCGGCGTCAGGGGGTACTGGAGTCATGTCAACATCTCCAATAACGAGTGTTTGTGATCGCTCAGCAAGGTCATTATCGACCTCCATCGGGCCCTGCTCAGTGGGAGACCCAGCATCCACATCCACAATTGAGTCTTGTTCAGCATTCAGGATGCTGCCGCTTTCTGGCGACCCCCCTTGTTCATCGTCTTTAGCGGCCCCTGCATTGCTGGAGCGAGTTTTCCGAGTTGGCTGGGGCACTGGCTGTGGGGCAGGGGCACGTAGGACATGCTCGGGAAAGCAGATGACAGCCAGATACCAATGAAGGCTACGAACGCATCGATTGATAGAAATCGGTGAGCAAGCAGAAACGGTACGTACTGCTCGTTAATAGGAACGATAATAAACTTCTTCTTGAAGAGATCGAATTTTGATGTCCATTTTTTAACGCTGTTGTAATCGCAAGCCTTGCCCCGACCGTTGTCAAGTTTCTTAAAAAAGAACGAGTTGAACACATGAATTTGGTCCACAAGTCCGGGGTCTTTTACGCGAAGTTTATTGATCCATAACCTGTATATCTTTTTTTAGTATTCCAAATGGCTAACAACTCCAACGCAGACTCTCTTACTTTAGCCCAAGTTCAATAAGAGTATCATTGAGAAACTCTCCATCTTCCAAGCGAAATAACTCGGCTCGATTGACATTCACTGCACCGGTCCCGCTTTGAGGGTATACGAGCATACTAAGATCGAATTAGGTTAGATATAGGGATAACAAATCTCTTTTCGTACATTTCATCGGGGTCTTGAAGGGGAGGAGCTGGAGGTTGTGCATTATCAGATTCGTCCTTGGATAAAGTGGCTAGGGCTCGAGTTTTAGTCCTTGTGGAAGGCCTTCAGCAAGAATATCATTATTAGAACTGCAACGAACTATGAGAGTGAACAACTCACCCGATCATGGTTGGCGGAACCTCTGGCGGAACAACCTCTGACTGTTGGCTTTGATTGCTTTTGGCTAGTTTTGGCCGAGGCCGCTTTTTGCTCGGTTGAAGTACAGCATTATTGGTTTCCCCTTGTTGGAAATTAAACAGAGCTCTCATAGCGTTGGGCCTATGATTCACAATTAGTTCGGC